GTAACACATCTCCTTTACCAGGTAACTCAAGATGGGTTCAGGCTATGGAATGGAGTGGTCAGAAAGAGTTTGTAGCATCTCCCGATGTCCCTTTTGAAGTTGACAGTGCTGAAGCTGGGTTGTTGAAAAGCCACGGGCCTCTGAGTTTCCTGAAGGTGCCTTTCTTTGTCGATGTTATTGTTCAATTTCTAGTGATGGGTGTTTGAGCTAACTGTGTTGTGTCGTATAATAGGTTCACGATGCTGGACACATGGTTCCAATGGATCAACCTAAAGCTGCCTTAGAGATGCTGAAGAGATGGATTGGAGGCACCCTTTCTCAGCAGACGACTGAGACCGAAGACTTGGTTGCTTCAATATGATTTCTGATATATGTAAATATTACTCTCATCCTCATGTTAGATGGCCTCTTTAGCAGCCACTGAGGATTGGTGGCCTTGTCCAAACTTTCTTTGCCACTGTACTTTTGAATGAAAGCAATGACTAAAACTTTCTGGAGATATGATAAAATTCTGAAGACGCATTTAGAAAATATGCATATATTATTGTGGGATATCTAAGAAGATATCTATATTGCCTAGCGTTCTCCTCCTTATGTACTGTTGAAGTAGTGTGATAAAACAATCAATCACACTACGTTATAGTCCCAATTCCCAAATTAAGCTAGATTCAAGTATATGAATGATCTACAGTCATTCTGTTCGATTCAAATTTGTTGCATCCAATACTAACTTGCGTAGACATTCTTATATATGTCCTTGTATAATTCTTGCGCTCAATCTAAGTAGGCGTTTGGCCATATTTTTTCCAAAAAATAAATAAATTCCAACATGTATTTGTTTATAGAATTGGGAGATTTTGAAAACCAAACTTCAAATGCCAAAATATAGCTTGAGATACTTTTTGGGCCAAATGATGACCATTTTAGACTTTTTAGTTGAAAATAGGACTTTTTAACATGTCAAAACTTGCATCAAAATTTATTTCCAAGCACATTTTTAATCGGGATATTTACCTTCCTATGCCATATAGTAAACTATATTACCATCAATGCTTAACTTTTACTAATATAATTACCTTTTATATACCTAATTACCATTTATGTACATTTTAGGGGTTTTAATGGTATTAATTAGTCTCCTAATTTAACTCTACCATATATTCCCACTCCCCCCAACTTTCTTTCTCCAAATCCCACCCCCTCACCCACGTATCAAACCATACCCGATGATTTCCTCTTCTAAAACCAGCGAAAATCTGTAACCCCTTCACCATTGACAACCATTAAAAAGCTTTGAAGCTTTGAATTCGAATTTGGGTTTTCAAAAAACATTGTTTGTTTGGATTGGATGTTGCAAAGAATTGAGAATTCTCTCTACGTATCTCTCAATCCCAAATTTCAGTAATATAAAGCAAAGGAAAATAGAGCAGCAATTCCACCATTGACCGCCATTAAAAAGCTTTGAATTCGAATTTGGGTTTTCAAAAATCATTATTTGTTTGGATTGGGTGTTGTTGCAAATAATTGGGAATATGGTTTGGAGTTTATATCTCATTTTTTAGAGGTTTTGGTGAAGATTAGACTTGATTTTGGCTGAATTTCAGATTGTAACTTGAAGAAGAAGAAGACATGACATACATTATATTGCAGAAATTGTAGTAAAATTGTAGAAAAATTGTATTATGTTGTTTATTTATTTTTCTTGTATTCATTTAACTATTGTATGAAAGTTGAACAATATTGTATAAAAATTATATTTAAGTTGTATGATATTATAGTTGTATATAACTGAGTAGAAATAATGTACGAAAATTGTAGATAAGTTGTATAATATATAATTAGTTGTATGAAATTTGTTTTTACTATGTATAAATTAGATACAAAATATACAAAAGACATATTGTATAAAATTTATATTTAAGTGGTATTATGTTGTAGTTATATATAACTAAGTAGAAATAATATATATAAATTGTAGATAAGTTATAGATAAATTGTATAATATACAATTAGTTGTCTGAATGTTTTTTTTACTATGTATAAATCAGATACAAAATATACAAAAGACATATTGTATAAAATTGTATAAAAATTATATATTTAAGTTGTAATTGTTGTTGTATTTAAGACCTTCGTCACCGGCCTTTTGAATGGCTAAAAGTAAAGACCTAAAGAGCTTTGGGTTAAATGCAGAACTTTCCTTTTTAGAAGAAAAAGAGCAAAACTGTTCAGCACAGTTTCCCAGAGCAACTCTTTGGAAGATACTGTTGTGTATCTGTAACTCCCATTCTCATGTATTTTCTTTACATGATTTTGTCCTTCCAAGTGATATGCACTACTGCTAGCTTCAAGAACTGACATGAACTTGACTCGACTTTCTTCACCAATTTGCGTAAAGGGCTAATTATCATTATTTTAAAAATATTCTACAATAAATAAACTTTTCCATTCAATATATTGACGATTTGATTTTAATTGTCCATCTTTTTTTGGCGTCAAGCACGGAGAAAACGTAAGAAAAACTCAGAGGAAGTAATTTACATCGAAAATTCAAAGAAAAGAAAAGATCTTAGATATTAAGGGTATAACAAACAAAATCATGAGAGAATAGGGGAGAGAGGACAAAAAAAAAGGAAAATAGTGTAATTAAATCCCTTAATTGAATGCACTAATAATGGATTGAGAGTCTTTTAAGGTGAAATGTATATATTTTGTAAACAAAACTTGTGTAGGTAGGATAATTTACTAAACACGAACATTTAGGGTAATAAAGTTTCCAATAGTATACAAAAATTAAAAAAATCTCTTTTTACTTTCACGTCCAATCTCGTCCAAATCAGTTTTTTCAAAAAATATTTAGAAATTTATGTCCAAAAATATAAGTTTAAGTTTTCCTTCTAAAAAGATTACATCGTTTGGAACTAGTGAGGACAGTCAATATGGATTTCCTATTTTTCATTTTGCTCCATTCTTAGCTTAGTTTTGGATTGATGTCGAGGAATTTTAATCTTTCAAGATAATCTCTTTTCATGTGATTTTGGATACGTTGTATATGGGGGTAAAAATCTCAATTTTTTTATCTGTTATGAACAATTTATTGTATATGATTATTTTTAATCTTTTTAATAGTGTTGTTTGTTAAGTTTTGGACCATTAACATATCCTAACATCTAAACATAATCAATTAAATTATTTTTTGAACGTATTAGTTGATAATTGTCATACACTTTTGGTAAAATTCGGTCCTTTTCTTGTTAAATTCCTATAATGTTAAATTATTTCCCTTTTTTTCCCCAATAAGGCTTACTCCCCGCAGCTAACTGTTATTCGTTTGGAAACAAATCGTAAAAATGTCAAGGAAGAAAAAGCACAGCGACGAAGAAGAAGACGACACTTTCTACTACCGCTACTCCTCCGCACCTTCACCGGCGCCGTCGTCCTCCGCCACATCCAAAACCTCTTCCACTTCGCGCGGCAGCGGCAGCGGCGGACTAGCTCCATCAAAATCAACAGTGTACGTGAGTAATCTCGATTATACCCTCACAAACTCCGACCTCCACACAATCTTCTCCACTTTCGGCAAGGTCGCTAAAGTAACCGTCGTTAAAGACCGGGTGACACGTAAGAGCCGCGGAGTAGCGTTCATCCTCTTCGTTTCAAGAGAAGACGCAACTAAAGCCGTGAAAGGAATTGACAAAAAGGTCCTTAATGGCCGAACCCTAACGGCGTCAATCGCCTCGGATAACGGCCGTGCAGCGGAGTTTATAAGGAAGAAGATTTATAAGGATAAGAGTAGGTGTTATGAGTGTGGAGAAGAAGGGCATTTATCGTATGAGTGTCATAAGAATGTGTTTGGACCTAGGGAAAGGCCCGAGCCATCAAAGAAAGGGCGGAGAGGTGGTGGTGGGAAGTGGGGTGGTGGGGGTGGGGAGTTGGAGGAGGATGGGGAGGGGGATGATGAAGGGGGAGAGGGTTTTGATGATGAGAATTGGGCTTCAGTAGTGGATAGAGGAGCAGGAGAGAGGTTATTGAAGGGAGATGATAATGAGGAATTTAAGAAGGAGAAAAGGAGGGAGAAAAAGAGGAAGGGTTATTTTAGTGATGAAAGTGATGAAGATGATTGATTAAAGATGGGATCTTTTTGCCCCATAGCTTACCATGCTAAGTAAGTTTGGTATTTAAGTAAGAAGGGTAGAAGGGAGGGCCCATTATCCCGAGTTTCGAAGGGTGCGGTTGGTACTAAGAGTTGGCCCTAGATGGATTTCTCAGTCTTAAAAAAAGGAGCTTTTAGCTTTATTTAGTTGAGGAATGATTTTCTATAGTGTTAATTGAAGGTATTGAAAGTTTTGCATTCACTCCTTTCATTTGGTGTGTTGTGTTACTTTCTTAAACTATAAAATGATGTAAGTGCAGTTAAGGTAATTGTTGAGTATAGTTTGATTTTGTTGGTAAATATCAGTATGATGCTCCGATATCTTTGATTTTTAAACTAGATCGTAGTTGTATGTATGTAGCATTATAGAACTAATTTAGTTATAAGCTGTATCTTGCTGGCAAGATGTTATACTTGGTAAAAGTTCCAGCTTTATAGACAATGTGGTTCTGTTTACTTGTCCCTCTTTACATATGAGTTTGGAGTTCAAGTTGCTCCTAAGTGCCAAGACTCCTGATCCAACTAGTCGGAATTATGTCATGTGTAGGTCTAACTAAATCATGCTAGCATTATTGAAGGACTCATGTGGTTCTGAAGAGTAGAGATTACAAGCTCAGTTTTTCCCCCATATTGAATTGAAATCTGTTGCTTTTCGCAATCAGGTTTTGACCATGATTTCTTGGGTCTTTAATTAAGTTCTCTAACTGGTTTTTAGCGCACCAAACTTTCCTGAAGTTGAATTGCAAGATCACTTTTTTTTGTTATAATGGAGTCGTCCCTTGGTATATATTATTGAATCTGTCCTGTGGTCTTCTATTGGAACCTTAGATGAAAGTTGAAACATTTGAGAATTCTAAGTCCTCTAGGTGTGGCGGTGCATTTGACTTCAACATTATTTCTTATCCTTACTTCTCTTGGAAACGTCGTCCTCATTTTTTTACTTATTAAGTAGTGATAGAGAGGGCAAGATAAGTTAGAAAAGGAACCACCAACAGGACATAACAATTACTCCTCAATCCCAAAGTAGGCGTGGTCAGCAATATGAATCCTTTATATATTTTACTCCATTCGAGCCCAACATTCAGAGAGTTCATATGAGTATTCTTAATAGCTCTACAGAGTAGACTTTTTTTTCCTGGTGGTGGAGAATAGTATTGGCATTGGAATTTCATTTTCTATATATATATCTATAGCTGATGCATTTGCATCCACTTACATTTTACTATTTGCAAATAATTGTGATCCAACAATGAGTAGAGCAGGTTGGCTGTAATTCAGAGTTAATGTTTGTTTCGCCTCATGTTGCACTTTCTAGCACTCAGAAAATGCCCGTGACACCAGTCCTGCAAGAAATAAGTATGCAGAATATGATGATGCTCTTGCATTTATAACCGGGTTTTAGTTTAATCTAACATCCCCAATTTTGCAGCAGTTTGCTTAGTCTTGGTGTCACTTTTTAATGCTCTTTCCAGAGTTTGCCCCTTTACCCTTCCTGTGAACACATGACCTTGACATGTCTCATTTTGCATTCTCTGTTGGTAATCTGTTAGTATATGTTATACCTTCATATTCCTTGTCATTCAGCTCATCAGATTGAGGGGATCTATTCATTACTTCTGTGTTTACATCTGGAGGCAAGGGAGTTTTCTTATCAAGTTGCTTGTTTCTCTTTTTGCTAGTAAGGAGAGGCAATGTGGAAGATCTTAGTTTTAGAAGTAGGATAGCTAGAACCCGAGGTTGGTGGTGAAGAATTTGGATTCATCTGATTCTGGAGGAGCATAGAAATTTAATTCTTGATGTTGCAACATGTTGTTGCCTTTCTTATATCCCTTGTTCTCATCATTTTGGGTCAGGGAATTGGAGCTGGCAAAGTTTCTAAGGTCCATTCCTAAGTTTCAGAATCGGTTCAAAGTTATCTTCATTGGAATGGAGAAACCGTCACAGAGGAAGATCCAGGACACACTAGAAGTTAGAATATCTTTCCTTAAGTCGTGTTCCCTCCACTCATTTCTGTTGCATATAACATCAGATTTACCAGAAGACAAAATGCAAAATTTCTTATGCACTGAAGATCATACCATTTTCATGGAACTTTAATGTATTATTACCTCGTCTAGCTTGATCATATTCTAAGCTTATACGAGTAAAGATAATGCCATGTTGAAGTAAGAAAGTGAAAGAAACTCATATCCATGCTTACAACTATAATTTAGGTCCTGACTCAGTCCATTGTATGTAACAAGTCTCTTTGTTAGAAACCTTAGAAATGGAAATGTAAGTAGTTGACAAGAAATAGTCATATTTCTATCAGCAAATTTGATACCTAACCCTACTTTGCAGTAGGAGAAGCGATAAGCCCTTCAATCTACTCCTCAAAGCAGGAACGAAGAGCCGCTTGCTTAATAATTTTGCCGCAATACATCTCTAGGTACCGACGGGGCAAAACTGACATAAAACGCAAAGTTCAGCAAGGCACAACATCCACAAAATTGATTGAACAGTACCCTACTAAATTTATATAAGTCCAAATTGAAACAATAAATTTGAGCTAACTCATGTATTCATAAGATTGCTTGAATTTATCTCTTACTGAGCTACAACATTCTTCCAGCAACTTGGTCAAGATTCGCTGGCCGTTTGGATGTGATTCTCCTTCCACCCTTAGGATCAAAGTCAATGATGTTCACGTTGCTTTTTTAATAATTCAAACATATAATTCTGCTCACATCAAGGGAGTCTCTTTATTAATTGAGAAGTTCATTGGCTTGCCTTTGACAGTATATAGCCTCTCATTTAACTCGCTATGTAACAACCTCCAAATATGAACACTCACAATGAAAGAAGATGATTGATTGTTCAATTAATAACCAAAATACAGAAGGAAAGTTACAGAAAGATAGAAGAATAGTAACCTAGAAGAAGGGGATGAGAATGCAGAGCATACATAATAGTGTATTGGTCTAAATTTGGGCGGCTTGACAACTGCGGATAAACAGGTTCGAGGACGT